TGCCTCACCCGGGAAGAGCGCAATGATGGTGCCAACTTGGGCCAGTGAAGCAACGTCCTCCACAACTAGACTGAAGAACAAAACGACAGCAACTTGTCTGTTCCCATTCCCCCAATTCCCCAGTGCTGTTCCCATCCCCCAATTCCCCAATTAAAAAAAAAAAAAAGAAAAAAAAAAGAAACTCCAGGGTAACCATCAGGAACTGAAATGTCACACCTCAGGTCAAGGAGACACTTTAGCTTCACCATACATTTGAAAGGTGACAGAGGAGGTACTGTTTTGTTGCCTCATTATTAAACAAGATAATAATAATGGAATATTAAATTCTCAGTAGCCTGGAGTATCTAAAGTTTTACTTATTGGAACATGGCTACAAAAATAAAATCCAAGAATAATAAGCTAACTCCAGGGCTATGTCCCCCTCTTGTAGCTGCAGACATCTTTTCATGAAGGCAATTGTAGAAAGGCCTTCTACAGAAAGGGAAAGGATTTAATCACAATTAACAAAGAAAGCTATCTGGTGTGGATTAATGATGACACCTTCATGCCACCATGTAGAAAAACTTCATTCACATGCACTGCACATTATGTAGTGTTGGATTTGGTAAACTTTCTGAATTAAATAATTCATTAGTAGTTGTGGTCTTGAGATAAACATAGGAGCTGCAACAGCCAGTAGCCATATGTAGTAGCTATTCCACCAGAAATGTGGCTAGCCCTACACGTTGAAATAATAATAATTTGGAAAAATTGGGCTAAATCAAGTACAGTAAAATTAATTTCACATGTTTCTCTTTACATTTTCATTGTGGTTACAAGTAAATTTTAAATGATGTATGTGGCTTTTGCTTTATTTATACTGGACAGTGCTGCCCTCCAGCCTTGGTGATTATTTAATAACAGCAACAAAAAGCCCGCCCAGTATCTCCTGAGCACTTCCTGTGGTGTCAGGCACTAGTCCAGGCGTTCTATACACATTCTATCACTTAATTTTAGCAATGACTCCATCCAGTAGGTATTATTATCATCGCCATTTTACAGATGAAAACCGAGGCACAAAGTAGCAGAGTAGTTGAGTAATCTGACTGAAGAATGGAGCCAGGAATGGAACCCAGGTAGTTTGGCTCCAAATGGAATATTCTCTTAACTCAAAAAGAGCTGCTCTACTCGTTTAATTAAAGAAAGAACACTGGTTTAAAAAAAAAAAAGTCATGCAAATAAACCTTTCCTATCCACTCTGGCCTGTTAGGGAAAAAAACAAAAAAAAAAAGGAAAAATCAAACATCCAAAAGCAAACAGACTAGACATATTCAGACATTTATTGCCTTCTTGATAGCATCCCCAAGAAGCACTGAAATAAAATTCATGCTAAGGAAAATTATAGGCAGTGTCATATTTTAAACTACAGGAAGCAAACAGTCCTGAAAAGGGAAGGCTGGGATAGTCTCCAATGGCCACAGCACCATCATTTGAGAGCCACTGTTCTAGAATAAAACACATCCTAGTACATTGGACTCAAGATGGTCATGTTCTCTGACTGATCATGAACAAGGTAGGCATCTGTCTCAAGGCGGCCACCCTGCTCCTTTGACCTCCTATACCAGGACTGAGAGTGCGGCCATTTTGTTTGGGTGACACAGTCATGGCATGATTTTTGCCAGATGTTAACAGTAGATGTTTAATGGCACCACATAAGCTACCCTGACTGCTGGCCAACCAAGCCGACATGTGATTTCATTAGCAACACCGAATCTAGATCCAGATTATCACACAAGCTGGAGTCAAGAGTTCACGGGCTCCAGGGCTGGTTTGGATGTCCAGGTAGACTCCCCAAAGAGAATAAAAGAGAAAACGTTAAGTAGCTGCTCATATTTACTCTGGAAGGTTACTAAGAAATCCACCTCACACACGTCCACCGTGTGCGCTAAGCATTCTATTTTATGGTGAACATGCTCTCATTTTCCCTGCTTACGGGCACACACACTGTGCAAAAGAGCAGAGAGGAGACGGGGCCTTTGAAGAAAGAGACGGATGAAGGGCCAGGAATGTTTTCTTTCTGATAGAAGCAGACATGGAATTCTGTCTGCTTGGCTCTTCTGAATTGGCTCTTCGCCTTCCTGAAATGAACATGCTGTGCTAACTTCAGAAAGAATGTTGGCAGGGTCAGGGTGAGAAGGTCTGAAGCGGTAATACTTGGATGGCTAATGCTTTCCTTTCTGAGGGCTGACAGAGCTGTGACCTCCACGAAGCTAGGCAGCAAGAATTCAGTTTGGCCACATAAAAATGAGTTGTTTTCCTCCTTTGGGAAACAGACGGGGATATATGAAGCTGTGCTTGATAGAAGTAAAGTATTATCTGAAGATGGTTTATAGTAAAGAAACTGGGAAGCCAATGTGATTGATTTCTTCACTATTTCCTTGAAACAATAATTAATACCTACAGAGCAGTCATATGCTGAAAGTCAAAGAAAAAAACTTTCCATCATTTCTTCTCTGTCAGCATATGGGTGGCAGGAAGTGGAAAAGTAAACAAAAAGATATTAACAAAGAAAGGCCCATTTACCAAGTGTCAAATGCTTCTAATTGGCAAACACTTGACAAGGCATCCAAGCCTAAAACTCTGTAGCTGAAATAAAACCTAGTATGTGTTAACGGACCTTGTTTCTCCCCAACTTAACGACCGCTCTTTACCTCTGTGTCCTTCATAGGGCCAAACTTGTATTTCTTAACCATGTTATTCCAAGCCTTTACATCTCTGAAGACAAAAGCATTTATCTTAATTGACAAGGATTCCTTTTCAACGCCCCTTCCCTAACCCTGAGGCTGTTAAGTCTGTGGATTGTAATTTTATTTTATTTTATGAAAACAATGCTGACTTCACCATTACTGAGAAAACTTGTTTCACATTTCATTATCTCCTTAAGGCTGGCAGATTCTGTTCAGAAACCAAACTGCTAATCCTGTGGAATTAAAAGAAAAAACGCTGAAAGTAAAATGTCTGCCAACAACAGTGAGGCCAGATAAATCAATTTGGCTTGGCCCTACACTGCCTAACTTCGTTAGTGGGGCAGCATGAGATGTCTCTCATGCACACACAGCCCCTTCTGAACAATCTGCTCCATTTACCACACGGGGGTAACCCTGATGTCTCAGGATGCTACCTGGCAATGCAGCTGATTTCGTCAAACGGGACCCAGGATGACCCAGGGCCAGCCAGTTCGTTGGTTGGCCAGTGTCTACTGGACCTATCTTCCTGAATACCATTTGACATAAGACCTGCACTGTTGTCAATTGGTAGCTGGTCCTATAGTTGAAAGGTCAACTGGTACAAGAGTAACCATATTGGGCCACACAACCAAAACAAACAACAACAACAATAAACCTACCCAAACTGGGAGAGAAGGGACCAGAATTTTGCAAAGGTACAGAATCACAAAGCCATGGAAGAAAATCCAAGATTTAAGAGCCTGTGTGGCCCTTAAAAGAGAGTAAAGTATATGTGTCACTTGCTAGTGACATTCCTGGTCATGATGGCTTCATCTCAGGATGTCTGTTCTATTGTTTCTTGAAGATACTCCCTCTATTTGAGCTACTTTATGTAGGTTTCTGTTTCTTACATCCAAAACAGACCTGACCATGAACCCATCCAACCCTGTTTCCCCCTACTCATTCTTCTGTAGTCTTTGCCCTTGTTAGGAATATCTTTAGACCATTCGCCAGGCCAGCCAGGTTCACAGTCTTGTGTTCTGTGTCTTCAGTCATATTACTGCTATTATCACATCATTCCAAAATCTCCCCCTTCCTATACAACAGCCCTAGCCCTGGCGGTCAAGCTCTGGGGAAGCATTTCTATGAATGGCCCTGATAGGAGTAATCTTCCATTTTTATACATTACTGGTCAGTGGTTCAAATTCCCTTTTACAAATGCTATCCATTGTTCCTGGCTCTATTTTCTGGAATTATGGAGAAGAAATCTACTGCTGCCTCAGTGTATGCTGCACTTGCAGCAACTAACTTTCCCCTCTAAGAATTGCCCCCTTCCATCTATTATTCCTCATGAGGTAATTTCAAGGCCCCTCACCCCCTTAGTGGCTTCTCTTCCTCTGACACTGCCCCCCATCCCTTGTCTATTTCATCAATTTCTACCCAGTTAACTGCTCAGCCTAAATTCACCTGCCTGTGAAAACTGCCCAGGGCACACTCAGAGCAGTCCAGTGCAGTGGTTAGCAACGTGGGTTTTAGAATCAGACAAACCCAGGCTTGATTTCTGGCTTCGACATTCATGACCCACAACTCCTTGGCATGTTATCCAATCTTTCCATGCCACAATGTCCTTACACGTCCAATCTCAGTGTAATACCCAGCCCTCGATGTTGTTTTGTAATTAAGTGGGCCATTTGTAAAGTGCTTAGCAGAGTGACTGGCACACAGAAAGAGCTCCGTCAACGGTGCTTTTTCTTTTATTTCTGCAAGTAGAGAAATCTCTTTTCTGAACTCTGGGTAGGTTGAGTGCTTCAGAGCTTGGTCTTTGTGATCAGACACCATGGTGTGGTAATTGGTTGTGTGAACTTGGGCAGGTCACTGCACTTCTGTGTCTCTCCTGTTGAAGTGGGGGTGCAAATAGTAGCTACGTCATAACACCATTGTTCATGAGGATTCAATGTGTTACCACATGTCAGGAGCTTAGACAAGTTCCTGGCACAAGATAGCGTCATCATGGAGGAGAGCTGTTAACTCCTCAAAATTGGATACTTACACAATACCTGATTTCATGCCTGCAGTTCTCTTCAGCTAGTTAATTTGTAGCTAAGAAACCATGTTTTGTATTTACAATTATTGGGTTCAAAAACATGTTTGTTGGAAAGAATAAAGGAAATCAATGAGAAGTAGAGGGTCCAAAAATAAATAAAACATCCTAACTGGGTAGTCTAGCAATGTTACACAGGTAAGTGAACACAGAACGCATACGCACAGAAGCCCCATGTGGGGCTCAGTATCTACCTGATGGTAAGAGATGGGGACTGGCTTCCGGAAGACGATCCACTCCACAATTTCGCTACACGGCGGGGTGGTCAGAGAACCTGTGTACCGGTAATAGCTGCCCAGGGATGCAGGCAGGAGGTCCCGGAGGACAAAAGGGTCCAGAAAGGTCTCCTTCTCTGTTTGGGGGAAGAGGCAAAAGAAAAGCACAATGGTAAGTCGTTCCACGCTGCAGACACACGGGCAAAACCCCTCTGCATGCTGGCGCCACATCACACGCCTTATGCTTGTTTACATCCTTCGAAGCACTAGCATTTGGTGGTGGGAGAGCCACAGAAAACAAAGCCGTGTTTCCCAGGGTGTGTTCTGAGGCACCAACATTGCACTCTATTTCATGAAAAACAGGTTCCATGATGAACAACACTGGGCAACAATGCAGTCCCTCCCTCGTCCCCCAGGAAATGGATAAAACACTAGAGTCTTTGAGCAGTCTTGGAAAAAAGCGGTGAATCTGATTTTATTTAACCCAAGCCCTTCATGATCTTTTTCCATCACGAACACTTCTCTATCTAATACATATGAAGTAATCATCAGTGGAACAAACTCTGGGACACCTAGCAGAGAGCCAGTGTGAAACGAAAATTGTCAGCCCAGGGTAAAGTGCAGCTCCAAAGTTCGTTACATCCCATGGTGATTCCCCATGGCCTACGGAAATCAACGTGAAACCTAACCAAGGAACAACCCTGAACTTATAAATTGGTGGCCCTGAAAATAGGCTTCTTCTTTTTATACAAGTGGAGGCGGGGGGTCTTTTCTGAAGGACAAGAAATGACATTTAAGCTGAGACCCAACAATGACACCTCACACTAAATCTATGAAGAAAGCAAGGTACAGAAGGGGTTAGTACCTGCCCAAGGTCACAGCTCCTAAGTATTATAGTAAAGCTGGGATATAAACCCAGGTGTGGTGACCCCAGAGCTTGCACGGTCTGACTCAGCTAAAGAAGGAGCTGAAGTGAACTATATGAATATTGAAGGGTAGGGGCAAAAGAGGAAAAGAAGAGCATTTTAGACCTTGGGAACAGCATGTGTGAAGGTCCTGAGGCAAGAAGAAAAAATAGTGCAGCAGAGATTAGGTCTCTCTGTCATAATTCTCCCAGTCAGGCTCAGTAGATCATCCAGCTTCTTTCACAAAGCAGAGAAGGTTCTAGTACCTATCTGAGTTCCCAAAGGTCTAGCCCTGAATTTAAGTCTGGGATTTTCGGCTATTCTAGTCCTGCTAATGGCTTGCTTTAGCTCCTTAATGGCCTCCACCCTGGGCCCCAGAACATTCCTGGGGAACTTTAAGGATCCAGGTTACTTCATGGACACACCTGTGCCTACAGGAATGTTCTTCCTACGCCTCACACCTCCTTCCTCCTCTTCCTTCGTGCAGAACAAACAGTGTAGGCACTGGGGCAAATGTGTGTCCCTAACTTAGAGTTCTATGTAACTGGGAATCATGTAAAAACCCCAACAGAAATCGATTATATTAGAATAGTTAAAATTTCCTTTTGGTAGAGACTAGTTGAATGAAACTTAACATTTATTTAGCTTTTACTGTATGTCAGGCACTATTCTGAGTATTTTCATGTTGCAAATATTTAAATAGCACTTACTGTATGTGCCAAGCCAAATTCTGAGAGCTTTATAAAGATTAATTTAACACTTAAAATAGCCCTGTGAAGTTGGTCCTATTATTACACCAATTGACAGAGCTGGAATGCAAAACCAGGGAGGTGAGTTTAGAATCCAGACTTTCATTATTCTTAAACATCACGATACTCTCATTTCACGACCCTATGAAGTACACACTTGTAATACTCCAATTATACTTCTGTGGAAATCAAGGCACAGAGAGGCGAAATAACTAAGCTCAAGGTCACTACTGAACAGTGAAATGGCAGCAATTATTCATGCACCTCAGAAGCCATGGCTGATTCTTACATAGGTTTTCAATTCATTTCTTAAAAGGAAAAATTAAATATTAACAATGAATGCAAAAGTCTTCAAATCATAGGGTTCTATAATCAAAATGACAAAAGTGGTTTCTGTTGGACAAAAGGCTGGAAATAATGGAACTATCACTCCTCCCACTGGCAAGTCTGGACTTTTATTTAAACCTGGTTTCCAGATGCCTAATGATAGGGGGACTCTCTGCGAGTGTGCTTGGCTGGGACTGGTTTGGACGGGCGGAGGAACTATTTTGGCCTTTGCTTGCACTTCCTGGGCTATGTAAATAGCCAACACAAGGCTGGAAGCAACTGAAGGTGCATAGGGCTTGACATCACAAACCAGGAAACCACCGCCTTCATTTCTCCATCATGCTGTAGGTGAATTTGGCGTTACACTGCAGCACACAACCGGCCTTACGATCAGGGGCTCCGGGCTGAATAAGAGTTTTTCCTTAGGGGCCTGACCCAACGTTAGGGTCACAGTTAAGAATGCTACAGGCAGGGGCCGGCCGAGTGGCTCAGTTGGTTAAGAGCTCACTCAAGAATTTGAGCTCTGAGCAACAGCGGTTCGATGCCCGGCCCGAGCTGAGCTGCCAACAGGTGGCAGGATGGCTCAGCTTAAAAAAAAAATAAAATGCTATAGGCAGAAGGAAGAGACAAGACAACCCCTGCAAGCCTTGAGGAGGAAAGCCCATATGAAGCACCCACTTGAGGAAAAGGCCAGGGCTTTAAAGAACACACAAGGTAAAGCAGAAACACCCGCGCTACCAATCTGAAACTAGATTTTGAGAGGGAACACTGCTTCAGTGGGATCAGGACTCTTAAGCTCTTGTATGGGCTCGTGAATTCGGCAGGGCCTTGTGGAAACGGCAGGACTGACCACTGCTATGCACGCAGAGGGTTTCTCTGTCCTTGACATGGGCTTCTGCGACAGGCTCTGGCTTTAACTGATTAGAAGGTGCAGGCAGATGGGTGGTGGGGCGGGCACACCTGGTGAGGGGGATAGAGAGAGCGGCTTCCCTGTTTCTCCATTCCACCACCATCACTGCCATTGGATCTTAGCGCTCTGAGACAGGTCCTGAGACAGCCCTCGTTCAGTGGCCTCAGAGGTGACAGACCCTTTCTTCAAACAAAATCCTACATGGGAGCTGGGCAACTCAAACAGCTAACTGTGCAGGCACCATGGAGGAAGCTGAGCTGGGGATCCAGGAACCCTGAAAACCACCACTTAAGTCCAGTTCTTTAATTTTACAGCTAGGGAAATGGAAGACCAGGGTGAAGTAATGGAGACAAAGGGAAAACCTGGAGAAGAATACAGACACTTGGATGGGGTTCTTTCTTCAAGGAAACGCTCTAGGACCTGGAGCAGTAAGCCTGGAAGCAGGAAAACCCTCCTAGTGCTGAAAACCCAAATCAAACTGCTGGCCTCTCCTCAGCACCGCACTCCTCCATCCCTACAGGGATTAGTTAAGGGAACAGATTTTCAGTCTGCTGGTTCAAACCCCGGCTCCTCCTGTGAGCTGTGTGATCTGTTACTAAACCCTCCCCTGTTGCTGTGAGGATTGAATGAATCAGTACAAGAAAGGGGTTCAGGAAGAGCTTGGAACATAGTAAACATCTCATAAATGATAAATATTATTCTAATTATTACTTTTGTTATTCCTGTTATTATTATTCCTCTAAACTACCCTGGCGTAGCCATGTACATCTTACATAAACATGTACTTCTTTTAAGTGTTTGTGTGTCTTATTTTTTTAAACTGGATTACTATGCCTTAAAGGCACATCATGTCTGACATTTTCTCTACTAACCTGAGCAGTATAGATTAGAATTTTTGAGTTCTTTGCCAAAGCTCTAGCATGGTTTTAGAACCAACTGACATTTAACAGCTGTGTGACCTTAGGAAAATGTCTTAACCTCTCTGAGGTACTTCCCTTATCTGTAAAATGGGAGTGATGAGCACATTTACTCCTCAGTGTTGCTGTGACAATTAAGCAAGCTAATAAAGGAAAGAGGCTTAGCACAGTGCCTTATAAACCTTGATTTATCAAGGCCAGCACTGGGTTCAGAGCAGGCTAGCTCACATTGTGCCTGAAATCAGGGATTAGAAGATGCTTGCTGTAAAGTGCCAGATAATAAATATTTGGGGTTTTGTAGGCCAAGAGGCAAAACTGAAGATGTTATACAAGTACTGATATAACAGACACATTTCCACAACCTTATTAACATCATTCAAAATGTTAATAATAACTGAGGACAATTTTTAAAATATAGGTCTTCTATAATAAGAATGGAATTCTTTTTGGGAGAAATTGCCATTTCACTTAACTAGCGTTCAAATATAAGAGCCACTCTTAGCGTAGGAGCCATACAAAAATAGGCAGAATTGATTTGGCCCTCAGGTCACATTTTACCTCCCTTATTTTAAACCAACTGGTGGGGGTTGGGGACCAAGTGTTATTAATAGCCAGAAATGGCGGGGAAGGCAAAGGAGGCCGGGCAGCGCATGCTACATGTTCGGGTGCCTCCATCACTAATGATACTTTCTTTTGTGAACATATGTTACAGAATTAACTCCTGAGTTGTTTTGTTTCCCCCTTGAGTTTTCTAAGTTCAAACTTAACATCAATTTTTACTGATCTTCCTAAAAATGCCATTTCCTGCTCAGTCCCACGGGCAGTGATCCACTGACAAATAGGGTGCTCATGATGTTTAATTCTAAGTCAGAAACAATTTTAGAAATGGTAGCCCTATATTTCCAGCACTTCCCACAAAGCCTACATAAGCCTTGATAAAAGTGAACTGGCATCTTAAGATGATTAACCATAGAGCTGGGAGGACTATGGGTGGAGCTGGGCCCCTTGTTAACTCTCTAGTCCTGACTTCCTGTTAAACTCTATGGTACCTTCCAGGGGAGGGATTCAAATAAATATAGAGGCCATCTTGAGAAGGCTCTTTTTGCATGTGTGCGACTGGTTGGAGCTCCAGTCGGAAGTGAGCATTCACACACTGATGGGGTGGTCTCGTTTCTTTTTCTTTGCCCAAATTAACTGCTCTTTTGGTGGATTTTCTGGAGAGTTATTTTGGCCAGTCGACAGCCACGCTCAACTGGCTCGACCCAAGACTGAATACAGCCAGCTAGAAGAAGAAAGAATAATACACTTTCCAGCTGAAAACTAAACTCT